AATAATAATTTGTATAAAATCTTAATTAGTCACATTTTTTAGATTGATTTATCAAAATTAAATGATAATAATTTTAAACTAAATATTATGAAGTATATTTTTAAATCTCAATTATTATATTTGCTTTTATTTTTTTCAAAAAAAATTATTATTGTTTAGAGTACAAATGACCCTCCAACACTTACATAAATCCATCATTAATATGACACAATATAATATAAGTTATTTCCTTAATAAATAAGAATTGCTATCATAAATTAAGAATTGGCATAAGTTGTAAAAAGAAAATAATGCAACTTAAAAAATCTAACTATTAACCGAAAAAAAAAACCTTACTTAAAAACAAAAATTATATATTCATCTAAATTATTTATTTTAAAATGCATTACATAGATATATTTATTATTACAAAATATATTAATTACATTCATTATGAATATATTTTTTAACCTACTTTATTGGAAAATGGTGTATCATAATGTAGTTTTCTAAATTCTAATATCATATTATATTTCTTTAAAAATATATTTATTAGTTATTTTACCTTAAAAAAATATCAAATAAAAAATATTTTAAAAGCAAATGGATCAATCAGGTTAACATGTGAACTCATAAATTGACTCGTATATAAGCTGTGATGTATTCGAGTTGACCCAAATACATCAAAGGTCCAATAATAATTGATCCTAATCTACTTTTTATGAGTGGAATTGAGGTGAAGTTAATGGATCGGATTAGATTTTGCCATCTCCCCGTGCTAAGAAAAATGCTCACACATAGTTTGAACATTGAAAAGATTTTCCCACCGTCGGCACCGGCCTGCAACATTCTAGAACGGCGAATGGGCTTCAATGCTTAAAGCTACCTTCAGCTTCCAGCCTTCCACATGTATTTGTGGACCGAAACTCAATAGATCCATTTCGTTTTTTCAGTCCTACCTAGAAGCCCAATTGCCATCTTCCATGTAAATACTAAATAGAGTAACTCAATGTTTGAGCCCATTTAATATACCCATTCTTTTGGTCGTTATTGTAACGGCACTAGCCCGTGAGCTAATTAAGTGTACTTTCTTTTTCAGCTCTAATCATGCGCATTTTTGGGCTTCAAATCCAGGAAACTATTAGCCTCTTTTTCTCGGAAAAATACTATTTTTTTAGTTCAGAAAATATTATTATTTTGTTAAGAAGTGATATGAATAAAGGTTTGGAATTTTTACAA